TATATGTGTGTGTGTGTATGTACAGTATGTATGTATCTATGTATGTATAGATGTATGTATTCCCTCATTCATTCAACCTTTATTTAAACAGATAAATCACATTGAGGCTCAAAGACTCAGTTACAAATGAGACCTGTTTGGACGACAATAAAAAGTGGTGAAAATGACACATGGGGTTTCGAGACAAAAGAATTCCTAACATGCTCTTAATCTTTGGCTGAAGGTTAACATCATGATAATGAAAAAAACCTTGCACAACGAACACATAATGACGCTGACATTCCGTAAGGGGTGCAAGGGCAGTGAGTATGTCCAGAGACAATGCACAGAGTCACTGCAGAGTTCAGATAAAATCGCTCAGTTCAAATAGTTCCCTCTGGAAAGATCCGTACACTCTCGGGGGGGTGCCGAGGATGACCAAGGATGAACGTCAGATAGAATCCAAAGAGTCTGGGCCCCTCTGATTGGTCCGTAGACTTCCTCGGTGGGAGGGGGGGAGGGGCAGAGCATCTGGTTTACAAAACTTCCAGGCGAATTAAGATAAGATGGCCTGTCAAGGCCAGTCAGGGAGCCGAATTCAGATAAACACGATTGTTTTGGGGACAGGCAGAACTTTAATGACTTCTACCTTGAGTCTGTGTCGGTCCACTCTGTTCCAAAACTTCCAAATTAAATGGCCATAACAATGGACCGTGCCTGAGAGTAATCCCCGAGATCTGATCCATCCTGCCAAAAGCATTTGAGTCTGGGTGCTCGAGGCACGAACCAAGCCATCATATAAGACTGTATATATATATGTATATATATATATATACATGTATATATATACGTGTGTGTGTGTGTGTGTATGTATGTGTGTGTGTATGTATGTATGTGTGTGTGTGTATGTATGTATAATTCTGACAGGTGCTATGTGATTTACAGGATCGTATGTGGCGTAAGACCCGCTCCCAGACCCCAGGATCTGTGTGCCGTGGAGTCGATCCCAACAGGAACTGGGATGCAGGCTTTGGTGGTCAGTACAGTACAGTTTTTGGTATTGTGGGATTTTTTTGTTTGTTTGTTTGTTTGTTTGTTTGTTTGTTTGATTTTTAATTTAGAAGACTTTGATTTTTCACTTGCAGATATAATAAATATTTATATGTACTGTATTCACAATATAAAACTTTAAAATGAGCATCACTTGTCATAAGTCTTTAGAAAGAGCTACAGTATTTAAAAGTTAAACTCTTGAATTTTTTTATTATTTTATGGTGCCCCTTTAAAGTTTTTTGCTACATACACACTGTGGTCTCAGCTCTTCTTCTGTTGCACAACAATTGAATACAAATCTGAAATAACTTAAACTAATTTTCTTACTTCTTGAGGCTGTAGAAACTTCTTTAGTGCTATTTAAGTAATCATCATCATATCAACATATCAGATATCCTTCATCCATTGCTGTTTTTTTGCTGATGTGTTTTGATATCACTCATGTCTGTGTGTGCGTGTGCTTATTTTTCTGTCCTGGTCGCAACTTTTGGAGTCAGTTTGAGTCCAGATGGTGAGCGCAGTTAAGCACATTTGATGCAAATATGACATTACAATACCTGAGGAGCAATAACAGCTTAATAAAAACTCAAGTTCAATAACTACTTTTTTAAAAGTTCATGGTTTCACTATTTTTAATTGTGCTTTTACTACCTGTGTTTCATTTTTATACTTATGGTTGTCTTGTATTATACCTTTCTTATCATTGTGTTGTGTGAGTGGAAACTTCTGGATTTTCTTTAGAATAATAAAGTTTTATCACGGCTTAGCTTATCTTGTAGTTTATCCTGGGTATTAATAAAGCTGTATGTCTTATTGTATCTTGATGTCCGTGTGTTTTAGGGGAAACTAAATACTTGAAGCACCTGCAGACATATGACACGTTCACAAAAACACAAAAAGCAGTCTTTGCAAAATTATTTTCTCGCCATTGATTACCTAAGTTCACCTCCTAACTGAGTGTATGTGTGTTTATTACAAGTTAATTGATTCAACATACATGCTTGAATTATTTTGTAAAAATGTCATAATTGTGTTTTTGTCACAAAACCTGCATCGCTTGATATAAGTGCATGTCTGCAGGCCCCGGTGCCAGTAAGAACCCCTGCTCTGACTCCTACCACGGACCCTTTGCTCACTCTGAGATCGAGGTGAAGAACATTGTGAACCTGGTCAAGAGTCATGGAAACTTTAAGGCCTTCATCTCCGTCCATGCCTACTCCCAGCTGCTCATGTACCCCTACGGCTACTCCTGCGGGAGTGTGCCCCATCAGTCTGAGCTGGTAAGAACCAAGACAAAGGAGTGTAAGCTGGTCCACTACCTCCTAAAACTGCTATTTTAATGATTACAAGGATGTTTGTTTTGTTTTGTTTTTTTTACTCAGGGAAGCTTTAAACTTTTCGTTGTGTAGTCAGGAACCCAAATGGTTACGTTATAATAAGCCCGACTGAAACCAGTTGTTTTCTGCCACATTAACAAAGTTATGTTGGGACTTTGTTTCTTTTATCCCGTTAAAGTTTTTAATGTTAAGGTTTCTAATATTTTGCCTTAAGGTTGATTGATTACATCAGTTCTGTGACAAATGTTACTCCTTAATTCAACCATGTTTGCTGTTTTCCAGCAGAATCTGCTTTGTGCTTTTAGCACGGCACAAATGAGCTCAGGGAACCTAATGGACCCAAAGTTCTGTGGTCGTTCATGCAGATAACATTAACAGCTTAGGGCTGGAGTCATAAAACTGCTCAGGTTTGTGCGTGTAGTTCTGGGGTTCCTGAAGCTGCCTGACAGACGCCACTTCAATCACACTTTTTTAATTGACCTGAGGTCATTTTTTATCAATTCAGATTAAAAACCTCATTCTCACCCATCACCACAAGGTGAAGATGGATACCGTTTACTCATTTCTGTGGTTGTGACCAAAATATCTAATGAACCAGATATTAAATTTCCATGAAAATTGCAGAAAGTAATTATTGGATATACATTCACAACTTATTAACGTCTAGAGTTAACCTCGTTAAATATGGCTGCCACTGCCAAATGACCTTAAAAACACAACAAGGTCAATAAATCAGTTATTTTGACAGAGTTTGATTTAAAGTCTTGTTAGAAGTGGTTAAGATTGGTTACCAACAAATATTCTGAGCACTTGTTTAGTTTGATTGTGTTTAGTTTAAAACCTTTCCACTAACTATTTGAAATCAGCTTTTAGCAAAATGTCTTTAGACCTAATGGAAAGATATTATAACTTTATTTCTTAGATGTACATCTACAACTGATTAACATTTGAAGCTGAACCAATTCAAGATGGCCACTGCAGCCAGCTGACTTTAGAAAACACAAAAAAATACCTATAATTCAATCAATTTAGCAAATATGGTGCTTAAAATTGATGTGGCTGTAGCCGAGAGTCACAACACTACTCATTCCATCTTTGCTTAAAAAATTAGCATCAACTGTTGGTATCAACCCTGTTTTGTCTGTTAGCAAAATTTCTAACGAGCCAGTGAACAGATCTAATTAATAGTAATCGCATAGTAATGTCTGTGGTTTTAGCAGAACTCCACTTGAACATTTTGACTTGTGCAGGACTCTGTCAGCAAAGCAGCAGCACAGAAACTCACTTCCCTCTACGGCACCTGGTACAAAGTTGGAAGCATCTGCAACATCATTTGTAAGTAATAACTTAACCCAGTTTAAAAAAAAAAAAACTCTAATCCCAAAGCTGCTCCCATAACTTCCCATTCCTCCTCCTCTCTCAGACCAAGCCAGCGGTGGAAGCATCGACTGGTCTTACGATGTGGGCATCAAATACTCCTTTGCCTTTGAGCTGAGAGACACCGGTCGCTTTGGTTTCATCCTGCCAGCTGACCAGATTATTCCCACCGCCTCAGAGACCTGGTTGGCCCTGAAGCACATCATGGACTACGTCAGTGACCACCTGTACTGATGGATGTTTAATTGGGCTGAACCTTGCATTTTTTAATCAAACCACTCATAAATTCCCTGAGAAAAATAAATCCACATAAAGCTTTCATGTGTGTTCCAGCACTGTCTTTTATGTGTACTGTGTTTTTTTTCTTCTTTAAACAAGATGCAAAAGTCGAGGGTTTCATGTCTTCATGTCAAGACTGAGTTGCAACACAGTGGTGGTATCAGCTAAAGGCTTACACGCGCTCCCGGGCTTAATTTGAGCCGGATCCTGGAAGAACTGCATGTGGTCGTGCAGTGATGGTGCACCAGAAGCTAAACGGATCCAGTCTTATCGCCATCATGAACGGCTTGTAGCAAAAAAAATATGTCACCAGAGTTCCAGGAGGTGATGGATATAAGTGTAAAAAAACATTAGCTACACAAACAATAACGTAAATTCCTAATTTTTTTTGCCGAGCTTTGTGAGGATAGAAGCAGATCGGATGTTCAACCACAGTGAGGCCAGGTGGCTTTCAAGAGGACTGGTCCTCAAGCGTTAGTTTGAGCTGACTGGGGTTTTCTTCTGAGGAGGTGGAGCCAGGTGGGCTTCACCTTTACCACCCAAATTCTGATGTAATGGTCAGGGTATTCAAACTGGCAACCTCTCGATTAGAGACCTGCCTTCTCTAACCTCTGCTCCAACATTCCCTACAGGTCTATAAAAATCTTGCACATCAATGCCAACATGAAGTTCACAGCTAAACCCACCGCTGTGTTTTTTTTTATTATTATTCATTTATTCATTAATTTAAAAGAAACAAAACAAATTCATGAAAAAGAAAAAAAAAACTGAATGAAAAGGGTGTAGAAAGAAAAAAAAATTATATATGTCCCTTATTTAAAAAATAAATAAAAATAACTTTAAACAAACAACGCAGGCTTGAACATCTCCAAAGTGAAAGCAAAATGATCAGGCATCCTTCACACGACACCAAACTTTTCTAACAATTTGAACTTAATCATCTTTTTAAACATATAAATTGTTTTGGAATTTTTTATGGTGATATTGAGGCATTTCCACAATCGTACTCCCTGAATTACAACGCAGCTCCTTCAGACCAGTTCTAAATGGAGATTTTAGAAACATTTCCATTCCCTTACAAGTCCATCACATTTCAACCAAATCATAAAATTTTTATAATTTCAATTGATGAAATAAGATGTTTGTTGGGTGACCATAGCACTTCCTACTAATAATTCTTATAGCTTTTTTTTTTTTGTAAAATAAAAACAGGATTTGTAATTGTTTGCATGCTTTTCCCCAAACATCAATACAACAGATTAAATATGGAACGATCATTACATTATACACTACAAACCTTTGTCATTCAAAAACTTTTACTTTATACAGTAATGCAACTGATTTTGCTATTTTTATTCTTAAGTAATTTACATGAGGTTTCCGTGTCAGCTTCTCATCAATAACAACACCCAAACATTTTTATTTCATTAACTCTATGAATTTCAGTATTGTCAATTTTAAATGGGACTTTGACACTTTTCTTTCTATTACTAAATATCATGTAGTTTGTTTTTTCCAAAACTTAATGATAACTTGTTAAGTTGGAACCAAGTTTGTATTTTTTGCGAATTCTGCCTGTATCATCTCTAACGTCCGTTCAATATCTCCACTCATATTTTCACTGCTGAATCAGGTGAACACCTCACGTCAAAGCAGAAATAGCAACTTTTTGTTGTTGCAAAGTTCAAGCCGTCACAGGAATCTTGCTTTGTACACTTTTAAGAGGGCCCATGAAAAGAGGATGGACATGTTCCCACTTCTTCCTGGCGTTCTGGAAAACTTCCCTCAGGTGAAGATCAGTAAATCAGTCTCTCAATACCTCTCACAACTGGCGCAGAGTTTTGATGAATACTTTCTCGCAGTTTCCAGAAAATGACACATGTGTATTTTGGACCCGCTTTCTGTGGATCCCACTAAAAATGATGTTGCTTTGCCGTCACATTTGGAATCCCAGCTCTTAGAAGTTTCTGCTAACAGCCGTTTTCATACAAATGTAACAAACATAAACCTTTAGCAGTCAATAATACATGATTATTCGTGTTAATTTTTGTGGTTATTTGCAACAGCAAAATGTGATGCTTCTGGTGCGGCCTGGGATTAATTCTAACAGGAATTTATTTGATTAAATAAACTTATTGCACAAAATTGACTGCAGTTTTGAAGGTCCATAAACAGCATTTATATGAAACGTGATGACATTTTGAAAATTCAAGTCAACTTTGGAAATATTGATTCTTCAAACAAGATGTTAAAATAATTACATTTAAAACGGAGAAGATGTAAATTGTTTATAACCTTTCTATAGAACCCCGCTTTAAAATGGTCGAAATATCCCTTTGAGAAAGGTGAATTGTGAAATAAACATATTATAGAGCACATCTTGAAAAAAAAATCTAATGAAATATTTCAGTTTATGAACAAAAAATGTGCAAATATATATCAGGCGGCATGTTGGTTTGATGTTTGCAGTGGCGCGAGTTTTTCCCGCCTTCTGACACGGTCTGCTGAAGCAACATCGTCAAAAACCTAAAGGCAGCCGTAGCTTTAGCATCCAAACTCTCATTAAAATGGTCTACCTAAAACAAATTAATGTTGAAAACTTTAAGTCATGGCGTGGAAAACAGGTTATTGGTCCCTTCATGCGGTTCAACTGTATAATAGGCACAAATGGCTCAGGTAAGAAAACTTTAATTCGTAGCTAACTTTCTATTAGCTAACCTTAAAACTGTTAGCTAGCTGTAATAATGACCGAGTTCAGACAGTTTTGCTAAACTAGTCAGAGGTTGGTATTATTTGAAGTTAAAGTAAACTTAAGAATATTATTTCTTATTTACTTTGGAAACAATAAAAAGTATTTTTATTGGCATTTGGTTTAGTGCTAACTTTAGCTTGGTAGCATTTAGCGGTTAGCTTTCCGGCTAACGAAAACTTTAAAGCACTTTATAATAATTTAGAAGGGCCAGTGAAAGATAAGCTGAAGATTTTAAATAATTCCAGGGAAGTCCAATGTGATGGACGCCCTGAGCTTCGCTATGGGGCAGCGGGCCGCCTCTCTTCGGGTGAAGCACCTCAGAGACCTGGTCCACGGAGCCCACATCGGGCAGCCGGTGTCCGGCACAGCCCGAGTGGCCATACGCTTCTGTGACGAGGAGGATGGAGAGATGGTGTTTTCTCGAACAATCACAGGTCAGTGCAGTGTCTGAACTCACCATCTGCACATTTTTTTTATTTCTTTTGGATAGCTAAAGATCTTATCTCAACATTTAATGAGGCTACTGTCTCATTGAAATAAACTTTAGACTATTTCTCTTGAAGGCATTTCCATCCAGTGCAAACATGAAGTTTTGAGCGTTTTCCCAGTTTTAATATTATGTCTGCTAGCTCTATCATAAAACATAATCTGTAGTTATATGTTAATCTGCTTTATGTTAATCTGTAGTCTGTAATCAGATGTCACTAACAAAATAGTCAGGAGCAAACCTCCCACAGCAGACAGTCGTTTAAGAGCGAGCTCCACAATGTTTTAACGTGACAGAGGAAGATCTTAGTGCTCAACATCACATACCATACCATACCACCTTATTTATAAAGCACTTAAAACAGCAACAAGGGCAACCAAATTGCTGTACAGACAAAACAGCAGGTAACACACAAAGCAAAATACAAAATGAGGTAAATCAGAATATAGACAAAAACCGATGCAGATAATGACGACAAACCAGTGTGGAGCATACAGGATCAAAACACAGATCATCTTGTGTTGAAAGCTATTGAATAGTAGTGAGTTTTTAAACGAGGCTTGAAAACCGAGACACTGTTCAGTGATTTGTAGACATACATGAGTATTTTGAACTGGATTCGAAAGTGAACCGGTAACCAGTGCAGTGAGGCCAAAACTGGTGTAATGTGCTCTCTTTTGCCTGTACTGGTTAAAAATCGGGCTGCTGCATTCTGGACCAGTTGTAGTAAAGCAGGTCTATGCCTCACAGAAGGAACACAAAACAATTTGTACATTTGTTACTTGAGACAGTGTTATACTCAGGAGTGGTATGAGTACTGCTACGTTCTTGGCAAAAACCACCGCACCGAACCACCGTTCCTGTTTTTAGTGTTTTTATATCGCTTTATAATGTAGCTGTTTTTGTTTCGTTTTTTTTTTTAATGATTGTCTACTGTTGTCATCATTCTTTGTTTAAAACAGGTTTCTCTTGTAAATGAGTCCTCGAGTCTCAATGAGACTAACCTGTATAAATAAAGGTTGAATGAATGGAAAAAAACAAGTTGTTATAGATCACTTACAGGTGGAAGGCGTCAATCCAAAACTGTATATGTTTAAATATGAGAAATAAAGTTTAAAATGTATAAACATGGGTGAAATAAAATATATAAATTGAATCCCCTCCCCAATCTGTTGTTTTGATTTCTTTAGAGGTGGTTCAGGCCTTAATTTGGGCGGCATGTGACAACCCCCTCTCCCCATAATTAGAACCTTGTCGAAAAGTTAATATAATGTATCAGTGAAAAAAAAATTAATAAATAAACTCCATCCATTTGTCCATTGTCTTGTACAGTTTATATATTTAGTCTGCTTCCCATTTTACCACATAATAACAAATATTACAGTTTGTTTAAGCTGTTTTAAAACTCCCTTTTCAGTTTAAAACCTGACAACATAATTAGAGAAAACGATCCTTTTACGCTTCCAACAAAAAGTTGGCAATGGAGAATTAGGCTATTGTGGTGTGTGGAGAAAGAAATTTGCTTTGAATCATGTTGCTACATCAATAGACACCTCTCTGTTTTGTGACAAACTTTAGTTGGACTTGTGTTTTCTGGTCTGTCTAATGTCCTCAACTGCTGTTTGTATTTTTCAGGGGACTCTTCTTCCTATCACATTAACGATGCTCATGTTACTTCTGCTACATACATCGAAGAGCTTGCAAAGATTGGCATTGTGACCAAAGCTCAGAACTATCTGGTGTTCCAGGTAACATGAAATTCATTCAGATATTACACTCACTTTAATGTTTTTAAGGTTGTGGCAGCATGCTTAGTATCACCTGATCGTATTTTCAGTATACTAAAGGGATTGTAGAGACAAAAAGCCATGTGAATGCCCGCTTAGAATTGGTAATTAAATGTGAGGGGAAACTGAAGTGCCTCTAAAACATTCTCATGGCAGAAATAAAATACACCAGTGATTATTTAAGGGCGGTCAGTGGGGGTTACGGTTACTGAAGGAAGAAACCATGAGAAGGAGATTTTTTTTTTTGTAGCAGTTTTAGTTTAAATCAAACCAAAAACAACTAGGAAAACAATGACATATTTAACAAATTACATTTATTTACAAATTTATTTTACATAAAATTGACTTTTATGTACAAACGTAAATATAAACTTGTTTTATTGGTATTTTACATTGTGATAGCGAAATGTTCTCAACTTGCAATGTTGTCAGGTATTTGAATGGCTGCAAAGCACAGCTAAAAAATAGATACTGTATGAACACTCTTTAGACTAATTGTATTTCAACAAACCAGATGTACAGTGGTGCTAAAGTTTGTGAACCCTTAAGAATTTGTTTGTAATTCTGCATAAATATGACCTAAAACATCATCAGATTTTCACAAAAGACCAAAAAGTAGATAAAGAGAACCCAGTTAAACAAATGAGACAAAAATATCGTACTTATCCATTTATTTACTGAGGAAAGTGATCCAATATTACATATTTGTGAGGATCCACACATAGAATTTAACTGTACTGTAATAGAATCAAGCAGTTGATTAAAACAAACTGCAAACATGGAAACAATGCTTAGTGTGTAAACAAGGTGTGTAATTTACTCTGCTCCTCATCAGGGGGAGGTGGAGTCCATTGCTTTGAAGGACCCAAAGGAGATAACCAAGATGTTGGAGAGTATCAGTCAGTCCAAGGAGTTGGCCGCTGATTACCAAAAGAAAAAAGAAGAGCTGCTGATGGCTAAAGAGAACACGCAATTTCACTTCAACCAGAAAAAATCTGCCACTGTGGAAAGAAAACAAGTGTCTCAAGAAAAGCTAGAGGTAATGTTAACCAGACACAACAAACTGTATTGCCTACCAGCATTAATAAACACCTGGACATCGATCCAACATTTTTCAGTCAGGTCATCTGTACAGTTTCTTTTTTTTTGTGCTGAAACATTTCGCCTTCGATCCGGAAGGCTTCATCAGTCAAGGAAACACACAACACAAAACTGATTCTTCCCCCAACAGCTTACTCCAAAGTGGAACAAACCAGTTCTGCTTGTGATAAGATGGTCTCTTTGGCACGCCCCCTCCTCCATTGCCGGCCCTCTTCCTTGTTGACAGTCGTGTAAAACTGGTTGAAAACAACAAAGTCCATGCTCAATAATCCAGGTATACAATCCAACATTTTTCACTCAGGTCATCTGGACAGTTTCTTTTTTTTTTTGTGCTGAAACATTTCGCCTTCGATCCGGAAGGCTTCATCAGTCAAGGTGGACTGGAGGTCAACCTGGAGATCGAGTTTTTCTGACTTATAATGCTTATTTTCCATAAACATCAAGGTCGATGTTGCTGCATCTTGAATGAAAAAATACAGTTTTCGTCAAGTTTCAAGCCTCTGCGACTGGCAGCATTTAATACACACAGAACCTGTTTTCAGTTTGGAATGGATTCTTCCCATTTATACTTATTTTTGTAAACACAATACAGAGCTAACTGGTCTGCAATGATCACGGTGGCACAACTGGTAGAGCTGCTGCCTCTCAGCGAGCAGGTTACCCCGGTTCAAATCCCGGTCCAGGGGGCCTTTCTTGGTGGAGTTTGCATGCTCTCTCCATGCATACATGGGTTTTCTCCGGGTACTCCGGTTTCCTCCCACAGACCAAAAACATGCACGTTAGGCTGATTGGTAACTAAATTGTTTCTAGGTGTGAGTGAGAGAATGAATAGTTGTTTATCTTGTTTTTCTCTGTGGCCCTGTGATGGACTGGAGACCTGTCCAGGGTGTACAGTGATTGCTGGACATGGGCACCAGCGGACCCTGTGACCCAAAAAGGAAGAAGTGGGTAAAGGTGATGGATGGATGGTCTGCAATAAGGTGTAATGGGGTGGAAAAGTGTCCAAATATTGTATAAATACCAGATGCAGGTTTTATTGGTAAAACTTGGTTTTGGCACCAAGCACTTTCCTTTTGATGTATTAAGTATTCAATATAAACACCAGGAATAAAAGTATGTGTATAAATATATATTTATTAATTTGAAAATTAGACAAATGCATTGTGGGTGAAAATCTGTTTAGAAGTTGTAATCTTTCATTGTTTTCAACTCAAACTCATCTCGTTCTATGTTCAGGCTCAGAAATACCAGGCTCTGCTAGATGACCGTCATCAGAAACATTTGCAGCTGAGCCTTGCTGAGCTTTATCTCAATGAAAGAGACATCGGTGCTATCAGTGACACACTGAAGGAGAGACAACATTCTGCAGCAGCTAAGAACAGCGAAATGGTGAACTGGGAGCAAACTGTCAAAGCCCACAAGAAGGAGCACGGACGCCTCACCAGGGAGCAACAGCATATCGATAAAGAGATCCGGTGTGTTTGTGTGGTTCTTTTTGAGCATGGGTAGAAACAGAATGACTTTAATGTCACATTAAACATGTTTTTATTTCACAACTTTAGAAATATAGTAATCGGCTCTTCTATGATTCTGTTGCACAGCGGTCAGGAGCATTCTCTGTCTCAGGCTCGGTCTCATTACATCAAAGCCAAAGTGAACACCTCTCATCACATTAAGAAGGCTGAAGAGATGCATAATGCCGTGCAGAAGAGTCGGAAGTTGTTGGCCATTAAAGAGCAGGAAGTGACAGCTGGTCATCAGGAAGTGGAAGAACTTGGAAGAACTTGGAAGAACTACGAGAAACAGATCCAGGAAGAAGGAGCTGCAAGAGGAAGAGACATCGAGCTGGACGAGGATCAGGTAATGATTGCAAAGACTGATGCCCGTGGCCTTTAATAAACCTTGGTTATCTTGAACTTGCAGAAAGCTTGAGAACGTCTACATGTTTTTTTTTTCTCAACACAAATCAATTTTTATTACAGTTGGAGAGATACAAAGAGTTGAAGGAGTTGGCCCAGAAGCAGGGGGCTGTTGTCAATCAGCAGGCAGAGAAGTTGCACTGGGAGCTCAGGGCGGATTCTGAAAAGATGTCCTTTGACCTGCGCAGAAAAAAGGAGGTGGAGGTAATCACATTTCTGCTAACCTTGTTTGTTTTGAAATTACTTTGAAAGAGATTCAGCATCCTTAATAAAAGCATGCATAATTTACCTACATTTCAAACATAAGTTTATGGATTCATGTGTCTGTAAATACGGCACCACAGCTGAATTGATTATTTTTTTTCAGGTTGCCATCAGGAACAGTCAAAAGCACCTGGAAGAATTAGAAAACAGAGCAGAAAAACTAGAAGAGTACACCAAAACTTGCAAGTAGGTCATATGATTTATTTAATATGTCATAGTTTGGTTTTAAATGGGGCAGCACGGTGGCGCAACTGGTAGAGCTGCTGCCTCTCAGCCAGCAGGTCCTTGGTTCAAACCCTGGTCCAGGGGCCTTTCTGGGTGGAGTTTGCATGTTCTCTCCGTGCATGCGTGGGTTTTCTCCGGGTGCTCCGGTTTCCTCCCACAGACCAAAAACATGCATGTTAGGCTGATTGGTAACTCTAAATTGTCCCTAGGTGTGAATGAGAGAGTGAATGGTTGTTTGTCTCTATGTGTCCCTGTGATGGACTTGCGACCCGTCCAGGGTGTACCCCGCCCCTCGCACAGTGATTGCTGGACATGGGCACCAGCGACCCCCGTGACCCAAAATGGAATAAGCGGGTAAAGATAATGGATGGATGGATGGATGGATGGTTTTAAATGTTTTTTTTTTTTTACATGTACTTGGTCATGTAAAGTTAAGAAAGTGAGAAAACTAACAAACATGTGTACGATTCAGGTCTTCCTTGGAGGATTACCATCAGCAAGAGGAGAGCCTGACAGCAGAGCTCCAGCATGTTTCTCAGCGTACCAAAGAGGTGAACCAAGAGCTGGGTAAGGTGATGGAGGAGCTGAGGAACGCCCGTCTGGACAGCCATGAGAGTAAACGGCAGCAGCAGCGCAGAGAGCTGCTTGAGAAGCTCTGCAGGCTCTTTCCAGAAACTCTGGTAAGAAATACAAGTAGAGTGGATTGTTCAACCCCTGCTACACTTAGTTTACGTAGTAATCTAAAAAAGTTAAATCTGGTCCTCTGTCCCCCTCTTACAATGCTGTGATTGCTAGTATCACTCAGCCCTCTGTGAATAGTAAACAGCCATCAGTGTGCTAATGATCCATTGTTAGGCTGATGGTCCTTCTTGAGCATGTGATCAGCTGGTTTTGGTTGTCAGCAGCAAAACTGGTTGATCCACTCTGAGAAGGTGCTATTTAAGAGACTGAGCTGAATACAGCACCTCAGACTGAGGAAGTCTCTTGGATGAGAGATGAAACGTTTCTACATTTTTTGTTGATTTGCTTTGTTTTGTTTTTTTTGAATGTCCAGAGGACCAGATTTAACTTTTTTAGATTTTTCTACCTGGATTATTGAGCATGCATCAGGATATTTACTTAGTAATGTCCTACAGTCTAAGCTTTTTTGTTTACATGTTCTTACACAAACATTAATTATATATTTTTTTCCATTGTTGACTTGGTGAAGGGATTAACATAGAGTCAACTCTGTCGCTTGACAGATTATATCGAACCGTTCATTGTAGTCATTGGGTTAACTTGGAGTCACCCTGAACAAGGTGGGCACCACATCTAACTGACATTAGCCAGTCCTTCTTGTGCAGGTGAACAACTAGGCCTGTCGCAATAAACAATAAATAAATTAATCTCATGATAAATTAAAATTATCAACCTCATTTTCATTTATCAGCTTTATCGTTTCTTTGTGTCTCTCTCTTTCTATTGAAGACACTGGATGACAAAAAGCTCAACTCCGGTGTTCTTCACTGACCCCTCCCTTTCTCTTCTCTTTAAAATCTGTTTTAACATCTTTAAGAGCAGCTAAACTGAGAAGCTAAGCTACGAGCTAAGCTAACAGGCCGATCTCGAGAAAAAGCCTCTGTCTTGTCAGTGCTCCAAAATTCACGGTTGAAACCTGTGTCTTCATGTAAAAAGTTGTTTTTTTCTGCAAAAAGAAGCTGAGAACTTGTTTACGGATTTTTTATTAACGTGAAAAATGCTATGCTGAAGAACTCAAACTACACCGAGCGTCCGCCATTTTGAGAACTGAAAAACAGGAACGGGAGACAGCCAAGGGGCCTCACTCCCATTTTTCTTAGAGACATGCTGCTCGCTCCCTCACTATCCATCCTTTGGTTCAAACTGTCGTATACTGCCATCATGTGGTCAAAAAAATGATACTACACACAAAAATTAACCAACATTTCTAATTAAATTTGACAATTATTGTCACATTTCAAACAATGTTATCGTTTATCGCAATAATTTCTGAGACAATTCATCGCCCAGCAAAATTTGTTATCATAACAGGCCTATGAACAACTAGTTCTGGCTCTCACCAGAAAACTGTCTGATCCGTTATGAGAAGATGTTGCTTATTAGACTGAGTTTGTTGCTGCTCCTCAGACTGAAGAAGACTTTTGGATAAGATGAAACGTTTCACAAAGAACAATCTGTCCAGAGAACCTAACTTTACTTTGTTAGATTTATCTACCTGGATTATTGAGCATGCATCATGACAATATCACGAGACTGCACATTATATAAATTAACTAAAACAGCTATAACACCACCTCTTCCCTTGCGCTGATCTTGTTTCAAAGCTCTGATATACAAGGTGGCAAGTGATATGCATTATTTTAAGAAACACTAGGCCTTCAATGAAATGTACTTTTATTCTACTTATTATATAAAGTGTGTGTGTGGGGGCAGGGGCGGGTGTGCAGGGAATTTTTCCAGAATCTTTTTAACTAGGTACAGGGAGGGGCTGGGTATGTTAGAAGTGTGCAGTGGGTATGATAACATTTTCATTAGCTTTATGTGTCCTATTCCAGTTTGGCCGACTTTCTGACCTGTGCAGCCCAATTCATAAGAAATACCAGCTGGCTGTCACTAAGGTGTTTGGCAACAACATGAACGCAATTGTGGTGACTTCTGAGAAAGTAGCACGTGAATGTATATGTTTCATCAAGGAGGAACGAGCAGAGCCAGAGATGTTCCTGCCCATAGACTACTTGGTTGTAAGTTAAGAACCTTTTACAGACAAACTGCTTTTTAATGCACTTGTTAAAGGCAAGACAGAGACACATCAGTGTGCCATTAATAACTATACGTACTTTGTGCACAGGTGAAGCCTCTGAATGAACGACTGAGGGAGATTTCAGGTGCCAAGATGTTGGTTGATGTTGTACAGATCAATGCTGCCTCAGGTGCTGCCCAACTAAGAAAAATAGTGCAGTATGTCTGTGATAATGCTTTGGTGTGTGAAACGATGAAAGATGCCAGGAGAGTGGCCTTTGATGGAAAGGAGCGTCTTAAGGTAAAATTTATTCATAAAACGCTAAATTAAGGCTAAATTTTTCTACTTTTGGACATTTGTTATGATGCGTAACCATAACAACAAGGTGGTTTTCTACAAGTGGGAGCAGCTGATTAACATCTCAAAAGCTCATACAAGACCTCAACTACAGCCCCAAATCTCAAATGAGTTGAAAAGGAGGTGCCGTGGATGCATTACTGTCTACCTGGAGGCTGTGCTCGAGTGCCTGACCGCCGAGCTCTTGGAGGTAGCAGGAAATGTGGCTCATGACAGCGGGAGGACTGAGATCGCCCCTCGACACCTGCAGTTAAGTCCACGGTGACAATGGACTCGGCAGACTGCTGGGAGAAGTGGCCATTGCTTGGGGAGGAGTTTTGCCCGGGATTCAGGCAGTCCTGCTGCCCAAAAAGACCGAGGTCTGCTGTGTCTGGGTGGACGGATTGGCATTTGAAGCGATTCTTCGGATTCGGGACGGACTGCTACAAGAGATCCTTCCTGCCCAAAGCCATCAGCATCTATAACAACTGTAATGAAACCAAGATGAGCTACAACAACAATTAATTTCCCTTTCGGATTAATAAAGTATTTTGAATTGAATTGAAATCTGAGATTTTTGTTGTTACCAAAATACAAGTTGAAGTGTCCCATCTTTTGCTCGTTTACAGACAGTAACCTTAGACGGGACGCTGTTTAAAACATCAGGAGTGATCTCTGGCGGTTCCAGTTATCTGCGAACCAAAGCTCGTTGCTGGGACGAGAAAGACATGCTGCATCTGAAGGAACACAGGGACAACCTGACCAAGGAGCTGCGAGTGAGACAGTATTTGAAAAAACAAAAAAAATTTGGTCAATCTATAAATGAAATACATTTTTACTACTTTTTTTTTGCATACGTTTGCAATTGTGTTTTGTCAATTGCTCTGAACATTTGTTTCTCAGTTCAGTTCTTTCGTTTAATTTCTTTGACAGGATTTAATGAAACTGAAGAGAAAGGAGCCAGACTTGAAACGAATCATTGCACAGTCTCAAGGAGCTCAGACACGCCTGAAATACTCCACAACTGATTTGGAAAACCTCCAGAAAAAAGTCATCCCTAAATGCCACGCGGTAAAGCCAAGAAACTTTAATGTTTTTATATTTAAAATCAGATATCATAGACATAGCTGAACTTTATGTGTACAGATGTGTCAGGAGACTACAACAGATGGAGATGTAATCTGTTATGTTAAGTGATGGTGACACAAGTTCAGAGGTGACTGGGCAGATACTGGTAATTGTTGCTCACTACTCACTTGGTCTTTTTTGTCTTGCTGACTAATTGCAGGAGATCTCACGGATGGAGAGTGAATTAGCAAACGCTGACTATCAAATTCAGATGCAGCAGGAAAGTCTTGAAGGAAAAAATGCAGAAATGAAGAAGATTAAACACCAGATTGATCAGGTACGCAGTCTACAGGGCTGCAGACTTATTTTTAGAATTTTGATCTGGACTTTAATTTCACTCAGAGATAAATATATATAATTTTGAGCTTTCAGAAAAGAAAAGTGTGGCCACTGTGCTAAACTTCTTTAGTAAATGTCCTGAACATGTTTGTAATTAGATTTAAGAAATAACCCCCAAAAGTTGTTTGACAAAACCTGAAAAATGCAGGTCTGTACAAGTATGGAATTATAAAATAAATATAATGTATGGCGGCATGGTGGCGCAGTTGGTAGAGCTGCCGCCTCTCAGCGAGAAGGTTGACAGATCGAATCCCGGACCGGGGACTCCTAGGCAGAGTTTGTATGTTCACTACTTGCATGCGTGGGTTTTCTTCAGGTACTCCGGTTTCCTCCCACAGACCAAAAACATGCATGTTAGGCTGATTGGTAACTCTAAATTGTCTCCAGGTGTGAGTGAGAAAGTGAATGGTTGTTTCTCGTTTGTCTTTATGTGTCCCTGTGATGGACTGGAGACCTGTCCAGGGTGTCCCCTTCCTCTCACACAGTGACAGCTGGATATGGATGGATGTATGTATGGATGTATGTATGGATGTATGTATGGATGTATGTATGGATGTATGTATGGATGTATGGATGTATGGATGGATGGATGGATGGATGGATGGATGGATGGATGGATGGATGGATGGAGTGTAGAAATTCTTTGTATTGTTGCGGTTGTGTTTTGTAGTTGAACTTTATTAGCATTTTAATTAGGGCTGCAAGTAACGATTATTTCAACAATCGATTAATCGGACGGTTATTTTTCCGATCAATCGATTAAAAGGGGGGAAAAAACAGCCATGCTTTAATTACCACCTCTTTATTACAAAATTTGACCGACATAGCAAATCGTACAAAAAGCAGATTGCTACTTGACTATTCTGTTAGTAAAATATTGAATAATAAAAAATAACAAAGTTTGTCAAATAGCTTCAATAAAATAATAAATGTACACAAAAATATATACAAATATATGTTTTATACCTGCACAATATGTAGGGTACTTTGTAAAATTTGTCCTTGAAGGAAGAGTGTAACCTGGATTAAAAGTGTGGATTATTGTAACCTGGATTAAAAGTGTGGATCATTGTAGTGAAGCCTTTGTCTTCAACCATCGACAGAGGCCTCGTGTCAGTGACGATCATTTAAGGATCTTTCAGTGAAGACAGCTGCTGCTGTGGTGTCCATGATGTCTGTCCATCATGAAGGCTGTCATTGTTTGTTGTTGTTTTCTGGAATGAGAAAGAGTTTATATGTATTATAGCATAATTCACAGCAACTCAATAAATGTCTTGTTTCACTTACAGTGTTAGGTTAAGGCAAGTAAGTAGCCCAAAGAGCAATTAAATACACACACATATAAAATACTAATTACGCACAATTGAGTAGATTAATTACTTTAATTCCTGTTTAAATGCAATTCATCCTGCCATACAATGCAGTGTCTTCAGACTTTGCCAGCAAATTAAAACTTGAAGCTTAATTTTTACCACATTGTGTTAGATTTATTTATAAATCACATGATTTAAACACTGCTTGTGCCAATTAAATTGAAATAAAAACACATGTTCTCTATCACCGTCATTAATCAGCTAACAAACAAGCAGCAGCAGCTGCAGAGAGAGTGACTTTATGTTTTCTGACTTGGAAACAGAACAAATGTAAAATATTGTAGAGACTTACTGCTGCTGATCCTTCATCCACGCCATGGTGAAGTTAGTTTACGACTCAGACAAGTTAACGTTACACCGCGATTCTCACGTGTCATGTCGTCACTTTTCAAAGCTGCATGTTTTGCAGTTTTTATCTTTGTGAAGCGTCAAGTGCTCCCACACTTGACTTGAACCGTTTTCTCGGCGTCGGTCATTTGTAAAATTTACTTAATTTCCTTTGAAAACGCCGCCCCTGCTCTGCTTCCTCCTCGCTCTGTTCCACTCATGCTGCAGAGTTGTTGTTGTTTTTTTTACTTTATTCAGTCAGCCAGCATTGACAATGCTCTGCAGGTGAACAAAACAGCTCCACAGCGCCGTGAGAGACACTTAATCGCCCGACACAACAAATTGATAATGAAATTCGTTGCCAACACTTTTAATAATCGATTTTATCGATTCGTTGTTGCAGCCCTAATTTTAATGTTCTACTTGAAGATATGCATCTAAATATTGGTAATTAGCTTCACTTGTAGATTTTTTTTTCATTCTGTTCATACTTGCTCCTATCCATTACTAGTGCTTGCTCTAAGAGTATCATTGTGTAGGTTTTCATCTGTATATCCATGTTATGTGTTTTTAGATGGAGGACTTGGTGTTTTCAGACTTCTGCGCAGAGATTGGTGTGGACAACATCAGAGAGTATGAGCAGGAGCACTTAAAACAGCAGGCAGAGCTTGACAAGAAACGGTACAGCAGTAACACATTACTATGTTCTGTACACATAATAAACTTAACCAGACAAATTTGTGATGGTTTGTCTGACAAATCAGTAAGTGAAAACATCAAATCGCTGCTGGTTTAAATTTCTTTTTTTGGCCACCATTCTAATTATTGTTTACCTTCAAGCTTTTTATTATTTTTTTTAGGGCAATTTTTTTTTGTCTGGGAAACTGATCACACACACTGAATATTTACGTTTACATTTGTTTTGATTGTCTGATACATTTCCATTCCATTTTTTTTTTTTTCAGGCTGGAGTTTGAAAGTCAGTGTGCCCAGCTGAATGCACAACTTGACTTTGAAGAAAACCAACTTGAACAGGACAGGAAAAAGCTTCGCAAAATGGAAGATACCATTAATATGGAGGAGGGAACCATTGCTGAGCTCAAAAAGGTAATCATCTCTGGGTTTTACTGTGCGTTAAAAGGAACTCTGAGCGTCAGTGGTCTTTATGTACACTAGCTGTGAGGAGAAACAAGAAGGTAGGCAAAAAGACTGAATGATGCATCAAGAACTTACAACTCTCTACGATGAGGCACATACTTCCATGATTGAGCTACCTTGCATGTTTTGTTAATATTGACATGAAAACGTTTACTACTATCAGTCTGCGTCATGTAATTTAGCTGTAAACCATAGCATTAGTCCATCCATTCATTATTTTTACCCACTTCTTCCAAGTTTTGGTGGGTCACTGGTGCCCATATCCAGCAGTCACTGTGGAGGACACCCTGAACAGGTCACAAGCCCATCACAGGGACTCCTGGACAGGTCTCCAGTCCATCATAGGCCACAGCATTAATTGTCCCCCATCGCAGAGCAAAAAGAGGGAATTGGCAATATACTCCGTCTGTCCGTCCGTACATGTTGTGAGTGCGATAACTTGAAAAATAAGTGACATACCGACTAGAGGTGTGCGATATGGCTCAAATATAATATTGTGATATTTCACAGCATTCTGATGATAACGATAAATTTTGTGCTATAACAAAAACAGAAATCATAGTAGTTCATTTTACAAAATGAAGTGTGGAAGTGTGGAACCATGGAGTGTGGAACCGTGGGTCAAGAGACAGCTGAGCTGCTCGTTGTTTGTACTGGAAGTTTTTGAGCGCAGGAAAGGTAGGGGGTCCAGTGTGAGGGAAGAGGCAGCTTGAGCGATGCCCTTAGCTTTTTAGCTATCTAGTATTGCGCACGGCTATCTTAACATTATGCCAATAATAAAGGGGGGGGGGGGGGGGTGCGTGGTTCGGTAGGCAGCACGCTCAGTTCTGTTAACAGGGCAGTGCGCCCGCTTCTATAATGGTAGGGGAAACACTGACATATTTACGCCTTGAAATGAGCATATCATGATATAATTTATTTTCCCGGGCAAGTTTTTTTTTTTACCAGTATTATCCTGAATGATATGATATCGCCCAGCCCTAGTACTGTCTTCCATTTTGGTGTGTGGGTGCAACTAGGAGTAAGAAAGTTTCCTTTCGAAACTTGGGTTGCCAGGTTTAAATCCAAGATGGCCACCACCATATACAAGAAACTTTGTGAGCGCGATAACAAAATGAGCAATGAGCCAACTTCCTTTTTGGTGTTTGTTTGTACCTAGACATAAAAAAGGTTTCTATCAAAAACTGTTTCCATGTCAATTTATATATTTATTTATTTTTATCTTTATTTTATTTTATTTTATTTTGCTGTGCTTTGCTTGTTTATTTCTGCTGTACAGTTGTACAGCAACAAGGCCAACACTTTGGTTGGCCTTGTTGCTGTTTTAAGTGCTCTATAAATAAAGTGGTATGGTAAAATTCAAAATGGCCACAGACACACACACATTATACACATACACACACACACACACACACACACACGGTGTGTGGCCACAATTGCCACCTCGTTATCTATGGCAAGAAAGAAAACTACCTCTCTTCTTATACATAGTTTAACTCTCTCTGTCTATTCCTGTTCACTATTCAAATCCTTTAGCGATGGGGGGCATTGGGGTACTGCTTGTTTTCAACAAGGATGGCAAAATGATTTCCTGTCTTCCTTTTTCAGGTCCTGTCCTTTTAATACCTATGGTTTGAGTATATTGGTTGTTGTGACTGTTGCTAGAAATATTTTGCTTGAAAACAACCGTGGATTTGGGAAATGTTTGGTCATTGCATATTCTTTCAGCTGAGTGTTTTTGTTCCCCTGCAGGAAGAGCAGAAACTGTTGGAAGCCGTAGAAGAGGGTCAGAATAAGCTGCTAGAGCTAAAGAACCAGCTGCTCACCAAAAAAAGCCAAGTGGCTTTGGCCAAAGCTGAGCTGGACCAGAAGTCTCAGGAGCTTCAGGAGAATAACAAGTAAAACTCTTGCTAATAGTACTGGTGCTGTTGTTAATCAAGGTTGCCCTTATTAGTAATAATGTTACAGTTGCTACTGCATAGAGAAATATAATCAATTTTGCTTGTGTATTTTATGGGAATGCCATCATACAAAGAGAACAGTGAGTATAACAAAACATTACAGGCAGCGCTAAATTATGCACATTACTTCACTTCATTGTGAACTTGTTTAATTATGAACCAAGCATGAATAAACTTAAGCCAACCTATAAAAAATTACAATATTAGAGGTTTTAGTCCTAAAATCACTACATACAGTATATCCATTACCAGACTACTGACAGAACAATGTGATAATATTTTACATTTAATTTTCATTGTGTTTTTGGGAATGTTAGAAAATGCTGTAAATGCTCAGTTTGGGGCTATACACTGTGCCTGAGTAAATGTTTAGTATGCCCAGTACCTCAATATGAGGGTCATGATCTTCCAGCAGCAAACGCTGAACTTAAGCACAATTTGTACATGTGCACACTCCCTGCTCTAGGCTTGATCTCTGTGGTGCACGCAGCACATGTTGCTTTTATTTAGAAAACTTCTAAACAAACGTCTCACCCTATCTCTAAAGAGCTCAGCTACCCTGAGAACCAAACCTTTTTTGACCACTTATATCCATGTTCTTTATATTAATCACCCATTTACTACCCAGCGTTTGTGTCCATAGGTGAGTGTACGGTCATACATTGACTGGTAAAGAGAGAGATTTGCCTTGCAGCTCAGCCCCCTCTGCACCTCAACAAACTGGTGCAGAGTATGCAGTACTGTGAAAGCCCGCCATACCTTGTAATACTTAAACTCCTCCTCCTAAGGCAGCACTTCGTTCCCAACCCAGAGAGGGCAGTCCAGCCTTTGACGACTGTAGACCATGGTCTCAAATTTGGAGGTGCTCATCTTTATCTTAGCAGTTTCACATCCGGCTGCAAACCCCTCCTGTGAGAGCTGAAGATCACAGCATGATGATGCCAACAAGGTCATCTGCAAATGGTAGAGACAGATTCTTGAGTTCACCAAACCAGACCTATTCTGATGCTTGGCTGCACTGAGAAAGTCTGTCCATAAAAGTCTGGATCTTACCGTGAAGATGTGCACAGTTTGTACTAGAGTTTGCCGATATGTCAGTGGGCCAATATAGGCGTTTGGGGACATATCAGTGATAATTGGCCCATTATGCGCCGTTATAAACACTTCTAATTTTCACCACTAAAATGCTGGGAACGAGCCGTGTCCGTACTTGCAAAAAGAATACTGTAATTGTACAATGTATCCAGCAGAAAGCACATGTGGACTACTTTGAAATCGCACTTTATCTTTCAATGTCAGCACAGCCGAAGCAGAGAACAACTAAATACTGTGTAGCGTATTTTGTAAGTTTATTATAACTGACGTAAAATAAAATAAAAATCAACAATTATAAATTCTCTTCAATCCTCCAATTTGCTTGTCATTAGCTACATGCCTCTCAAGTTAGCAAGCTAATGTTTAGATAACCTAGCATAGGCTACTGCCTTGTAAAACTTTAGCCAGAACGATAAATCTAACGTAGAGGTAAAATAACGTTATCTTTGTTGCGCTAAGTGAAATGTATTGTCTGAAATCTTTACTTCTCTGCAAAGAAACAAAAAAAAACTCTGCAGGGATCAATACTAATCACACCTTCACCATACGTGACTGACTGTTTAAACAATGAACAGGGAAGGGCGTTTGTTTAATTTATATTTTTGTAACATACTTGATAACTTTATGGTGAATAGTGGAGGATTTGGATACCTGCTGACACTGATTATTTAGATATCAGAAGTCTGGTCACTTTAATATTATTGTCATTATTGTTGACTTCATATGATGCTGTAATAAACTCCTCTCTACTGGCAAATATGACATGCACAAATGCATGCATGTACAGTACATCTACACACACTCAGTTACTGCTTAAACCGCCTGTGACATCAAATATAAGTAATAAACAAAAATGCATTTTTAAAAAGATCACATTAAACATGTATTGCAGCAAAAAAAAAAAAAAATCACACCGCTGAGTTGAACAGTTGTTGAGATATTTGTGCAACAGCAGGAAGTGACAACGATGAATGATGGTTTTGAGTCACTATCAGAGAGAGACAAAGAAGAGTCAGAGTTATAAACAAAGATCAGGGAGTTCCTCTTTTTAAAGCATCCTTTTGATGTCACTTCCTGTTTAACTTTGGCTTTGCCACGTTCAAAATAAAATGTGCCAATTCTGTGACAAAATGCATAAAATTGTGTGTATTATGCCAAATTTCATAAATATTTTGATGTTTTCTTTCACTTTTTGTATTTGTGGGAAATGATTGTCACAGACACTTTAAAGTTAACCAAGTTCAGTGTTTACTCAAGGTTGCTTGCCTTGGGAGGACGCTTGGGGGGGTTAGGGTCGGTTCTGTTGACAGGGCCTTCCTTAGACTGGTAGGGGAAACAATGAAGTCGTGCTTTGGTCATACAATCTGTTGACATCAGCCAGGACTAAAAACTGCAGAATCACTTCAATCTGTGTGTTAGAAATAGAAAGTACGTGAAGGTTAAACATTTTAAGTTATTTTTAATGTTGCCCACGTTACCTTGTAATGTCAGATTCGTATGTTTGAGCTCACTTGTTAAAACTTGTTAAACCGGCAGTTTTTATGTCTTTATTCCTTTTAGAGAGTTGGTAAAACTTCAGCGTAAGGTGATGTCAGCAGAGACGATGTTGGAGCAGAAACGCTTGGCTAGACACAACCTGCTGCTGGCCTGCAAGATCCAAGGCCTGCCCATCATTATGCTGTCAGGCAGCCTGAATGAAATCAGTGAGGTGCATGTAAGTTTCAGAGAAATAAATCCTGTCCTGGATGATCATTTCATTTGCCTCTATTGCAGAATTCTTGAAGAGTACCAAACAGAACAATAACACAAAAGTCCAGCCTTTCTGATCATTACTTTTTCTGGTTTGTGCAGCTGACCACAGATTCAGAAAGTACTTCAGCCACTATGGACATTTACGAGCGAGAGGCACAGCTAGTCATCGACTACTCCGAGCTGGACGAAGAGTTCAGGGTGAGACGTCAAATCAAGTCTCATCTTAATAATTCTCGTTTGCGGCTTTAAATGAGCGTGAAGTGAAAACATGTTGACAGAGTCTCCGGGATGACGAGGAGACAGAGGCCTTCATGAAGAAGCTGAAGGAGTCCGTCTCCTCCCTGGAGGAAGTGCTACTTTCTACCACTGTACCTAACCTGAAAGCTCTGGAGAAAATAAATGAAGTGAAAGACAAGTTACAGGGAGTGACTGAAGGTATTTTACTAAGAGTATTTTTTAGTGGTGGGCTTGTCATTTTGAAGGTTTTCTGCATGTTTTTACTTGTTCTTTCTTGAAGCAGCTGGACTAATGAACACTGTCCTCTTACTCGCCCAGCTTTTGATGCCAGCACTAAAGCAGCCAGAAAATGTAACCAGGAGTTTGAGCTAGTCAAAGCCCGGCGCTGCCTCCTCTTCAGTCAGTGTTTTGAGCATGTGTCCGTTGTGATTGATCAAATCTATAAAAGAATTTGCAGAAACAGTAGTGCCCAGGTGAGACGCAATACAACCGCTTTTTAAAACACACTCGCAGTGAGCTTCTTCTTAGAACTCTACTCAGAAAGTAAAATTCACGATACAATAGTCGTAACTCGTTTCCGTAAAACGTTTTAAGTGACATGAATAAAAACATGATGCCATAAAGGACAGTTTTTCTGCCCTACAGGCTATTCTGAGTGCCGAGACTCCAGACGAGCCGTATTTAGGCGGCATCAACTACAACTGTGTGGCTCCAGGGAAACGCTTCATGTCGATGGACAACTTGTCAGGTGGAGAAAAAGCCATTGCTGCTCTTGCCTTGCTGTTTGCCATCCACAGGTGACTCTACCCCGAAACAATATTTAAAGTAGATGAGTTTAGAATAATATGTTTATAACCATCTTTAACCAGTGGCAAACGTGAATCTTCTGATTAACAGAAGCTAATAACTCGTGATGTTTGTGTCGTTGCCCTAAGCTTTCGCCCTGCTCCTTTCTTCATCTTGGATGAAGTGGATGCAGCTTTGGACAACACGAACATTGGCAAGGTAAGATCAGTGCTGTATGCAAGCTTTGCTGGTAATATCCACTTTTATCTAATTATAAATTTGTTGTTGATCAACCAAATTTAACTGACATACGACAGTAATGATTTAATTTACGAAACAGCAGCTGTAATAATTTTATATTGCGTTCTCTGACTCAGCGACACAAAGAAATCAAGTTTACGTTTACATTTAGTAACTGCAGTTTGCATTTGCAGCTACCACCAGTTTTGTGTGTGTGTGTGAGCTTTAGTAGAGAAGGCCCATGATGGGCATGCTTCTCCACTGATTAGCAGACATAGTTCTGCTACAGAGCTCCACCCTTTAAAATGTCATGTCCCTATCTTGCTAACAGTAAAAAATAAACATTTTAAGACAAAACAAAAATTTAAGAGCAAACAAGAAACTGTATCTATATAAAAAAAAAGCTTTGCTGACGACCGCAGTGCTCCGCTGAGCGAGTGATCACAGAGGAGGAGAGTGGTGTCCTTCAGCTGCTGTCAGGCATTGGAATGTGGTTAAGATGCACTTTTTATCTCCTGTATTATTAGACTTGACAAACATCAGCCAAATATAATGAAACAGCCCACAGTTTCTTCAAGAACCAGATACAGTGAAGCTTTACTGTGTCACAGTTTGTCCACAGAGGCGGTTATTGCTGACGCATCATTGTGGCTGTTTCACTATAAGCCTTCAGCTGTTAAATACAGACTTTCTGATGGATTGAACAAGTTTCTTTATTTTAAATTTATTACCGTTATCTGGTGCTCGTTTCCGAGTCGGTTCTGAGGGGCAGCAGCTTGAGCAGGAAGACCCAGACATCGCTTTCTTCAGCCTCGTGCTCCAGCTTTTCTGGGAGGATTCCAAGTGGTTCCCAGACCAGCCAAGAGTAAAAGTCTCTCCAGTGTGTCCAGTAGTCTTCCCCATGTGTCTTCCAAGTTGGACATGCCCTGAAAACCTCCCTAGGGGGCATCCAGGAACCACCTCTACTGACTCTTCTAGATGTGAAGGTGCAGTGGCTCTACTCCAAGTCTCTGCTGGATAATTGAACTTCTCACCTTATCTACAATGGAAAGCCAGCTTCCTTGTAGAGAAAACTCATTTTGACCGCTGGTATGTGCAATCTTTCTTTTGGCCACTACCCAAATTTTGTGATCATAGGTGAGAGAAGGAGTGTCAACCCACCAGTGAGGTTCACCTTGCAGCAGCTTTTACTGATAACATCACTGTTACAGGCAGCTTTTACTGATAACAGTGATGTTATCAGTAAAAGCTGCCTGTGGCAGCTTCCTCCTGACCTGCATTGCACTTATTCTTGATTTTTGGATCGCTTAAGGCTCACCTGTGCTATAATCATGCTGTTCAGCATCTTGATATGCCACACTTGTGAGGTGGATGGATCATCTCTGCAAAGAAGTGCTCACTAATGCAAATTTATGAACAGTATTGGCGAGAAAAAGGCAGCATTCTGAGCAGCAGTATGGTTTCATGCCAAGGATGCGCACCACATATGCCATCTTTGCTTTGAGGATGCTGATGGAGAAGTACAGAGAGGGTCAGAAAGAACTCCATTGCGTCTTTGTGGATTTAGAAAAAGCGTACAACAGGGTACCGAGGGAGGAGGTGTGGGATCACATGAGGAAATCTGTAGTGAAGAATTATGTTAGACTGGTACAGGACATGTATGAGGACAGCAGGACAGTGGTGAGATGTGTTGTAGGAGTGACAGATAGCTTCAAGGTGGAGGTGGGAGTGCATCAAGGATCAGTTCTGAGCCTCTTCCTGTTTGCTCTGGTGATGGACTGACTGACAGTCGGTCATGGGAACACCTTGCAAAAGATCTGAAGCTCTCGACCTTGACCTCACTGAATGGCTTCAAAAAACTGCCAAGTTCATGGCAAAACCCAGTGCAGACATGTTTTTAGTATTTTATATTGCTTTATAATGTAGCTGGGTTTTTTTATATCATTTTTTTTCTTTATTTATATGTATAAGCTTTTTTATGATTGTCTAATGTTGTCATCATTCTTTGTTAAAACCAGGTCTCTCTTGTAAATGAGTCCTCGAGGCTCAATGAAACTAACCTGTATAAATAAAAATTGAGTAGAACAGATGAGGTCAGGCAGGAATCCCTGTGGACTATGATGTTTGCAGATGACATTGTGATCTGTGGTGAGAACAGGGAACAGGTGGAAGAGAACTTGGAGAGGTGGAGGTTTGCACTTTAAAGAAGAGGAATGAACGTCAGTCGTAGTGAGACAGAGTCCATGTGTGTGAATGAGAGGGAGGCCGGTGGAACAGTGAGGCTACAAGGAGCAGAGGTCACAAAGGTGCAGGACTTCAAGGACTTTGGTCCACTGTCCCGGAAAATGGGGAGAGTTGTCAAGAGGTGAAAAAGCAAGTCCAGGCAGATGGAGTGGATGGAGAAAAGTTTCAGGAGTGATTTGTGACAAAAGGGTGTCAGCAAAGGTCAAATGAAAAGTTTACAAGAGAGTGGTGAGACCAGCTGTGTTGTATGGTCTGGAGACAGAACTGGAAGTGGCAGAAATGAAGATGTTGAGGTTCTCCTGAGGAGTGACAAGGATGGATAAGCTTAAGAATGAGATCATCACAGGTACAGCACAGGTTGAAGAGAGACCAGACTGAGATGGTTTGGACATGTCCAGAGGAGGGACAGTGGTTTGGACATGTCCAGAGGAGGGACAGTGGTTGTTATACTATTAGAAGGATGTTAGAAATGCAGCTGCCAGGAAAAAGCCAGAGGAGAGATATGGATGCAGTTAGAGAAGACAGTAAGGAAGGTGGAGTGAGTAAAGAGGATGCAGAGGACAGAGCAAACAAATAATAGTTTTTAAGTGTTAACCTTGTTAAATTCTTGTTAAAGTCCTCCCGTGCACGCTCCCGCGGCCGCCATTTGGCAGCCAATCGATTTTTGGCACAACACCGGCCCACATTTCCGGGTGGTCAGCGGTGACGCATGATAGACGTGACGTATACAGCGGTGCAACGTGTACGGAGGCAAGTACGGTACTTTTGTAAATTCTTTGAATGCATGTTTGGATTTTTCCAGGTGACCAGTTTCATCAGAGAGGAGTCCAGACGGAACATGCAGATCATCGTCATCTCTCTGAAGGAGGAGTTTTTCTCCAAATCTGACGCTCTGCTGGGCGTCTATTCTGACGTGAGGAAACTGCACCGCAGGCTGCAGGTTCCACATGTTTATTACGTCTCACTCATGTTTTCTTCTGCGCAGTTTGATGAGTGCATGTTAAGTCGCATTCTGACCCTGGACCTGCGTCTTTACGCACTGGATGAGGACGACAACGGAACGCAAAGTTGAGAAGGAGACCAGAGGAGAAGGAGGAGTTCTGTAGCCCAGAATCACCTGCGTGAGGTCAAAATCTGTTTCCAGCTCTCGTGTTTAACTGTTGCTCTGAAAGTTTTTATCTCTTCAGTAAAGTAGATGTTTTATGACCACTCTCTTCTTATTTTGATTTTATTTTTTTAATAATTAGGTATCAGAAACAGATTTTTATAATTCACCGCATGTGTTTTATGGGCTAAGTTTCACATTATTTACAGACTTGATTAGTTTTGCGATCCACTTGAACTGCTAGTTATTTTGTTCAAATTGTTTGTCTAAAATCTAACGTAAAAAAAAACAGAAGTGAGCAAATAAATAAGAGTTAAAGCCTAAAATGTTACATTCACAGCATGTTATAAAGAAACATACTAATTTGTTCTATCGTGTTATACAGTTCTAAAACATGTTGAATGTTTGTACATTCACTACCAGTTTTATTTGAAATGTTTTGTTCTGCTTTTAAATTTGACTTTTATTCAATAAATGCATAGCTCAAAATACAGTGTATTTTTTTTTCCTGTTGAGAACTTTATAAAATGTCATTTAATTCAGCAAAGTATCAGTATAATTACAAAAACCCTCTACTTATTTCTATGTTAAATTCATTCAGCAGAAAGGCAACAGTACCACCACGGTCAGCAGGAAGAACTGCAAGACTTCAGCAGGAACGTCTGGATTTAACTTTAACAGAATGAAAAACAAATGTTTGAAAATGAGAAACTTTACCGATGACGAATGAGCGAACAGTGCTGTGGTGCTGTGACAACTGCCTCATCCACCTCTGGATTAGTGCTTCGTCTCCATCTGTCATTTGCCAGATTATCATCTGTCCAGGTTCTACTGGAATATATCTCCAGTCTCAGAGCCCATGCCCCCCACCCGAAGGGAAAACTCCCAACACACAGGCACCAAGTCGGCGGGGGGCTAAGAATAGACCCACACCAGCTTGGTGCCTCTGACCATGGGCAACTCCAGAGTGGAATAAGGTGCAGCTCCTCTCAAGGAGGTTGGTTCCAGAGCCCATGCTGTGCATCCAGGTGAGTCCAACTATATCTAGTCTGTACCTCTCAACTTCTCACAAGCTCAGGCTCCTTCCCCCCCAGAGGTCACGCTCTATGTCTCAAGAGCCAGTGAGGCAGGGTCAGAGCGCCAAGGCCCCCGCCTCTGGCCACTGGCCATGGCGTCATGCACTCAACTTTTTTGGCCCCTCCTGCAGGTGGTGGGCCCATGTTGCAGATAAACCCATGTTGCTCATTTGGGCTGAGCCCGACCGGGCCCCCATGGGTCGAGACCTGGTCATCAGACGAGCGATTATTTATTATGTCCATAAGAGTCTTTGGAGTCGCTCTTTGTTTGGCCTGTCACTTAGGACCCTTGGAAGACCCTACCAGGAGCAGTTACATTTGCCCCCCGACAGCAGAGCTCCTAGGATCATTCAGGCACGCAAACTGCACCACGATAAGGTGGTGATTCAGTATGATTATTAGAAACAGGGTTAATAGTCATGATACCAGAGGTTTTAACAAAGCCAGACCAAACAGTACAGTATAAAATCAGATGTGGTAAACAACTGTAAACAAACTGCACATGCAAGTATTGGACCAGGGAGGGGCTCTTCAACTGACGGGCCATTTCCGGAGGTGGTGGGGTTCTGGGTTTGGGTTCTGTTTCTTGCATTTATGATTCAATGCAATAAAATAAACAATTTTAAAAGATAACATTGTAAACTTTGGTTTATTTGCGTAATGATTTTAATTGCTGGATGTCTGACCCCCGAGCTGTTGGCTAATTGTGGCCCCCCGGGCAGTTTTGTTATAGCCCTGCATTGGATCATGATACCAAAGTTGGAGTATAAAGCTGCTGCTTTGATACCATAGTTTTAATGTCAGCAGGTAATCTCTTAAAATACATTTGAATTTAGCAGAAAGGGTTCAATTTTAGCGTTTTGCATCAATGAATGTAAAACCGTTGTGTTCTACAACGTGTTGCGTGCGAACCAAACAAACCCAGAGAAACTTTACAGCTATGTTCATAGGACCAAAACAAAGTTTATGGTTGCATGTTACCAAACGTACAATTGAAGTCAATATAATTTATTAATTTTACAATTTTTTTTACTGTAACATTGATGAATAGTCTTGAATGAAACTTCTTGGTTTTGTTATCAAGAAGGTATTTATTAGGGAGATTCCATGTCCGTTTTCGACATAGGTCCACAGCAAGATTCTCTAATCTTAATCTTAATGTATCGAACAGCAAATAGTTTTTGTTTGTTTACCAAACTTTATTGCACAGAGGTTATTCTGGTTTTTTTGTTTGTTTGTTTGTTTGTTTTTTGTCATTCATCCTTTACTTAGATTAATCCCATTGAGCCTCAGAGACTAATTTACCTGAAAAATGTAAATTTATGTAAAGTGTGAATGTTTAATGCCAACCGCTGACAAATTGAACACAAATATACAACATCAGACTTGAGAATATTTTCTAATCATGTTTTTATTGGATAAGGAGGCCATAGATGGTGATAGTAACAAATAAAAACACGAACATAAGAACCGGAAGTACACATGAATATATCTAGACCACAATGCATCGCAAACTACTGAGGACGAGCATGCGCATTGGCGTCTGTAGATGGTAACACTGCCTCCGCTGCAGCAGGGGGCGGTAAAGTAGCAAGAAATGTAAATACGATTCAGATTGTGCGAGCTTATTTACGGAAGTGGACAGATATCGAGTCATTTTGTGATACAAGCGTTGTTTTTTTCTGTTAACGACCTGGGTATAGATCTGCTTAGTATTAAATTCTGTTTCAAACGAATGTCCAGTCGGTCCTCTGCGGCTGAGCTGGAATCAGTACCATGTTTAGCCGCTGTCTCGCTTAGGAGCTCGTCTGATCATATTTCTGGGCGTCTTCAAAGACATTAGCATCTACTAACTAGCTCGGTTAGCTTTAGCTTGTATTGTGTGACAAACGCTGATTAAAGCTCATTTAGCTAGCGTGCTAACCTGGCATGGGCGCGGAGCAGAGCGGGGATGCGGAACACAAACACCTCAACCACAGCTCGTCGGGTGAGGAACACCTCCTCTGTTGTTTATTACAGTTTTATGTAAATTATAAGAGATTCGTGCGTTGATTTTAATGATTTGCTGGCATTGCAGCGGCTCCGTCCCCAGCTAAGCACAAAGCGAAGATGGATGATATTGTGGTAGTAGCTCCGGGGACTCAGTCTCTGAGGAGCATCCACAACGACCCTGACGTCATCAAGCTGCAGGAGATCCCCACATTTCAGCCGCTCCTGAAAGGTCGTACAGCTGCACCTCAACATTTATCCAGTGGAACACAGTTTACACACAGCCTGAGCTCAACTAGCCTGAAAACTGCACAGAGAAAATACAGAAAACAATTGTGGGTTTAGAAGTACTGATTAAATAACTGGACACTTAAGTTTTAAAGATGTTTATTTGTTATTATTAGTTAGAGAAGGTGGGCCTGTGATCGGAAGGTCGCTGGTTCAAGTCCCTGGACCGATGACATCAAAATACCCACCCTCATTTGCTGCACTCTGGGCCCTTGAGCAAGGCCCTTAACCCCCACCATCTGCACCCCTGGGCGCCCTAGCTGTCAGCTCTCCGCTCCACACAGAGGGCTGTGGTAGCTCGGTGTCTGTGGTTGCATCTGGAAGAACATCTGGTGTAAAAATAATCACCATGTCTTCCTGCCATTTAGTTTGCAGTGGCGACCCCTGAAGAATTCATTTCAAAAATACTTTATTAATCCCAAAGGGAAATTAAATGTTGCAACTCGTTATCCTCGTTTCATTAAGAGAGGTTATAGATACTGGTGGCTGTGGGCAGGAAGGATCTCTTGTAAAGGTCCGTCACACAGCAGATCAGAAGAAACTGTCCCTACATGCTGTCCGATCCAGTCACCCAGACTTGGCTGGCCTCTTGGTTCCCACAGGCTGCAGGACCACCCAATACTGGGCAGAACTCCTCCCAGAGTGATGGCCACTCCTCCCAGCAGCCTGCTGAGCTCCTTGTCACTGCGGACAGCCGACTGCAGGTGTCGAGGGGCGATCTCGGTCCTTCTGTGGTCAAAAGCCTTGTTTCCTGCCAGTTCAAGGACCTCAGTGGTCAGGCACTCGAGCACAGCTGGCAAGGAGATGGGAATGCATCCACGGCGCCTCCTTTTCAACTCATTTGGTATTTGAACTTTTGTGATGTTAATCAGCTGCTCCCGATTGTAAAAAAAAAAAAAAACACCTTGTTGTTATGGTTACGCATCATAACAAATGTCTGAAACAAAAACAAAAAAGTTTCAGTAAAAATCCTTCCAGCTGCACAGCATCCGACGACGAAGGAAAGAGGAAACAATCATCCCAAATATGTGATTTACGTCCAGAAAAAGAGGAACTGAAGTTTCCAAAAGCAAAATCTCAGAATGAAAGTAACAGAGCTGCTCCCAAAAGAAGAAGTTAGCAAAATATCTCATGAATCATTAGATGACTTCTATTGAAATTTGCATGAAGTAACAACATCTAAAACTGATTATCTGTTGGAGTCAACCCAGTTTAAGATGGCTGCCACAGCCAGCGTAATAATGGCAGGAGTTCTGTCAGTTTTACACATGTGGAGCTAAAATGTGTTGTAGTGGCTGAGTGATTTACAACACGTCCTCTGAGCATGACGTCATGTAATGTTGCATGTGACTGCGAATAATGTTGTTAATAAAGTTTAACCAAAACTTCTAAAACTCTCATTTCTCAACATGAGATGATTTTAGTCCAAACATGAAGCGCACGCATTCCTTCAAGGTATGCTAGACCTTTAACCATTTTTAACATATTTTTTACACAAACATTTACTCTAAATATCATTTTCTTAAAATCTGAGCAGTGGAGCTCATTTTGGAGCGATGCTGTGGTGACGCTGGAAGTTCTTTGTTCTGTGCAGGAGTGCTGAGCGGCCAGACGACACCCAGCAGCATTTGTCTCGAGAGGCTGGACTCGGCTCAGGTTCTGCAGCTCTGCGTCCGATACCAGGACCACCTGTACCAGTGTGCAGAGGCCGTGGCCTTCGACCAGAACGCCCTCGTCAAGAGGATCAAAGAGGTCCCGTGTTTTCCTACAAACACTGTCTCGCAGGTTTATATCAGTTGGATAAATCAGGGACAACCCAGCGCAAACTGAGCTGATCCTGATTATAATAATTATTTTTATTTTTATTATTATAGGGAATCATTTTCTGTTTCAGAAAAAGAGAAACTCTGGAATCTTCCACTTTAGTTCCAGACTGCAAAGTAAAGCTGCTCACGCCAAGAAACCTCGAGTTTCTACTGAAGCAAACGCCCGACACAAGATGTTCATTTGAATCAGTCTGATAGAAAAGTTTATAATAATTAAAACAAATAATAATAAAAAGCAGAATTATTTAATTATGTCTGACATTGGGGAGGATTTTCCCACCTGGACTGGGCATACAGGAGTCCCTCGATATTTCGCCTGATTGATGGAGTGAGCTGGTGTAAGACAGACACGCCCCCTCCTTTCTTTTTCTGAGGTGCAACTTTAGCTTTTTGAAATATTTAGCCTTTTCTGCCACTTTTATTTTCTCACAGGAAAGGAGTTGAGCTCATTTTACATCCTTCAAATCTTTACATCTGTTTACAACCTTTTACTGCTCGTTTCACTTTTTGTTCTGCTTCAGCTTCCACGTGCAAATTTATAAAAAAATTTGAGCTACTTTCAGCTAATTTCAGTTTAATTTTCAGCTGTTTTGTGCTCGTTTCTGATCTAACTACAACATTTCTATGCTTCTGACTTCTTTCTGCTAATTTCAGCTTGTTACACTCCTTTCAGCTTATTTCTGCTATTTCATCTGCTCCTTAGCTGTTTTTATGCTAATTTCAGTTTCAGCTTTTTTATTTTTTTTAGATAATTTCCACTGTTTTATGCTCATTTCTGCTTCTTTCAGCAATCATGTTCTTTCTGCTTTCTTCTGCTAAGTGGAGCTTGTTCTACTTTTTCAGCTAGCTTCTTAGCATTTTTTTTAGCTAATTTCAGCTGTTTTCAGATAAAATCAAGTTTTCGTGATAATTTCTGCTACATTCAGCCTAATTAACCTCTTTCTGCTAATTTAAACTATTTATGCTCCTTTCAGCTTTTTTCTGCTATTTTAGCTGTTTTTGTGATAAATTTAGGTTTCTCAGCTAATTCCACATTGTTTGAGCTCATTTTGCTTCCTTCTGGTAGTTTAAGCTTCTTTCTACTTTTTCAGCTATTTTCTTTGTTAATTTCAGCTGTTTTTTTTTAGCTAATTTCTGCTTATTTAAACTAATTCAACAAATATGTGTTCTTTTTGCTGCTAACTTAGGCTTGTTCTTCCATTTCAGCATTTTTTTTTAGCTAATTCCAACTCTTTTTTTTTAGCAAGTTCTTGAGCAATAAGCCTTCACGCTGCATTTCAGCAGGAAATTCTATTTTTGTAGAAAAGTAAACCTTTTGGAAATCAGAGTTCATGTGAGTTAAACTCGTGTACTTGGTGTACTTGGTGTACTTGGTACTGAGAAACAGCATAAACTTGGTTTTCCTGCGGTGAGTTCACGTTTCCGGGTTTAAACGACAAATTGTTTGTTGCGTTTGCTCCGAACTCATCGTTGGTGTCAGAGCCGAGTTTATTCTCGTCAGCCATTTTCAAACAGACGACTCGGCGTTTGTCGTTTCCTTTCTGGAGTCTCCGCCGCCGGGTCGTTTTCAGAACCGTTTGATTCGAGCTGCTTCGTGCGATCCGGAGGTGTGAAGCTCTGCTGTGTGTGTCCGTCCAGATGGACCTGTCGGTGGAAGCCTTGTTCATCATCATGCAGGAGCGCCAGAAACGCTACGCCAAGTACGCCGAGCAGATCCAGAAGGTCAACGAGATGTCCATGATCCTGCGGCGCATCCAGATGGGAATCGACCAGACGGTGCCGCTGATGGAGCGCCTCAACAACCTGCTGCCCGAGAGCGAGCGCCTGGAGCCGTTCAGCATGAGGCCTGACGGGGAGCCTGCCTCCAAGTAGCCAATCAGGGACCACAGACAGTGCTGCTTCCTGTTGGGGGGGGGGGGGGGGTCACCGACCTCCGGGCTGCGGAGCCCCGAGCAGCTCGGATGCGAGGCGTGCACTCAGACTGTCCACCGTCAGAGCAGTTGATGTTCTGAACCCGTTAGCCGTGACGTGTGGCAGCACTGGATCGTGTCTCGGGTCGTCCGGAGCTCGTTGGTGTCGTTCGTGCACGAGCGTCTCGACGATGCGTCCGTCTCCAGGACAGCTCTGAAGACGTCCTCCCAGACAGAACCAATCGATGCTCGACACACGCAGCACGAAATAAACACCCACATTTTACAAACACGTTAATGTGCTTGATTTATTTTGATAAAAGTAAAAACGTGTGGATCTAAAGCCGGTTTGTAAAGTCACTAATAACTATCTGGTCGTCACGGCGACGGCTGCCAAGCATCCACAGACAGGAAGTGGGAGTTAAAGAACAGGCTGCTGCAGTTAACGTCTTTAAACTCTTCAAAAGCTGTTTCTCTAAATCGTGTCAAAATCAAGGCCCGGGGGCCAAATGTGGCCCTCGTTGACGTCTTATCTGGCCCCCAAGATGATACGTTAAATGTAAAAATACTTTTATAACTTGAATTTTTTCCCCATAATCTTTGATTATGATGTGAAAAGTGCAACAGAGAACGTGAAATGAGACCAATTGTTGAGGAACCTGTGAGCAAGAAAACTTGAGTTCGTGTAGATTCTGAACCTTAGTTTGAAAACGGTTTTAATTTTGACTCCCCCCCCGCTCTAAATCAAGTTCTGCGTCTCTGCCTTCTTTTAACCTCCACACTGACTGGGATGTTTATTTTTGTATTAAAAAGCTTGAAATTCAATGAAATCCTAATTCAGAATAATCTTTTTACAGAGACGAGCTTGTTCCTGTAAGTAGGTTGATTTAAAAACTAAATGATTAACTGCTAAAACAAATATATGTTTGTAAAATACCGTGAGCATGGGTATTATTATAATTCATTTAGCTTTTCCAACTAAACAAACTGTCCAGGTGACCTGACTGAAAATTCTTGGATTGTATTCCTGGATTATTTATTGAGCACGGACTGTTTTCGTTTGGCTTTTATTTACTGTAGTACAAGAAGAAATGTGAGGCCTCGAGGAAACGACAGTAAATGTTTCTGCTCTGTAAAAAGCCAAGATTACTCAATTTAAAATATATTTAGGGGGATTTAATCCTTTCCTTTAAACTACCATAAATCTGCTGTGGATTAAAAACTGAGATTGGGTCATCACGGTGGGTTCACTAGGTGGAGCCAAATGTTCATATTTTCTTCATTCTCTTAAAAATAAAGTGAAAATATATTCATTTATTCTGGACACTTGAGCAGAAAGATGTTTTGAGGTTTTATTTGTTTGTTAATTTAATCTGATTTTTCCTTTTCCATGTAATAAACAACGTGACCATCGTCTCATTTACTTAAATTATTATTATTTACCTGAGCTTGTTTGATTTTCAACTTCTTCCCCCCCCCCAAGTAAATTTAATATTGAAGTTTCATTGTTGAAAATAATTCTTTGGTGGTTTTGAAGTGTTTTGTGTAAAAAAGCAGGCAATATCTTACCTGTTGTAGATAGCTCTGTTGATCCGCTAACAAGTGAACGAACGCAGGAATTGTGTTTATTTAATGTTTGTTGTGGAGAATCGACATAATTCAAACTGGTTTACGTGGATGTTGCTGTACTTGTTTAATATGATGTGGTAAAAAAAATAGTTTTGCAACACAAAGTCAGAAGCAACGATCTATTTATTAATTTATTAATCTCACAGAACTGGCAGGAAAGTCATTAATAATCCTGAAGCCGAACTCATCCTTCAAGTTGTGATTGTATCTTCACTGGTATAAATACTAAAATAATTATAGCGTTCCTACTTCACCATTTTTCACCTATTGCGGGGGGGGGGGGGGGTGTTCAGGGACACTTCAACGTGCGACTGCTGGTGGAATCAAACCCTTAACTCTTGCATTGGGGGACGACTGCTCTAACCACACAGCCACAGCTGCGCATGAAGTCTTTTGAATGAAAGATGAAACGTTTGAACAAAAGACATCGTCCAGAGGACCTGGATTAACTTTGTTGGATTTTCTACCTGGATTATGGAGCGTGCATCAGGAGACGCTGCCTGGACTTTATTTTACCTCTTTGTTGCACAAAACAGGAAACTGTCGGGGCCGGACGTCTAAATGATGATGTTTTTGAGTTTAGTGGATTCCCACAGATTTTGTTAATTGATAGAAAATTATCAGTAACTTTTATATGATGACAGTTGGTCACCGCAGTGTGAAACAGATGTTTGGGCACAGCTGCGTTTAAAGATCCCAACAAGCTGGTGGATCAGGAAATGATGTTTGACGAAACATCTGACCTCGTTTTTGACTTTGACCCGATGTTCCTTTGGCAGAAATCAAAAGTAAAAAGAGTTTAAATTCTTGATTCATTTATGGACTCACCTGAACGACGGGCTGTAACTTTGTCATTGACGCCACGCCCGCTTTGATCTCTGAGAACACACGGAGTCTGGTGAGAGCTAATCTGAACACGGAGTCAACTTTGAAACAAACAATTGTTGGTGATTTAAAAAAACAATGTGCCTATAGATACATTTTACTGCCTCCTAAAACGTATCTTAACGACTATAACCATTATCTTTTCCAGTTTGCAACCTTTTGACCATTCTAACGTTTTTACTGGATTTTTCAGACACGTCCTGAGTGTACCTGCCTCTTGCATACAAGTACATATGTATATAAGTATACAGTCCATTACCATTTGCAGTGACGGCTGGATATGGACGCCAGCGACACGGGATGGAAGCAGCAGGTGAAGCTAAAGGATGGAGGGATCGTTCAGCATTACGTCATTGAAAAGTGGATCTCTTTACATTTTTAAATAAGAAAAATGGCTCCAATGGAAACGTTCTTGAAACGACTCTTTCTATTTCATGCTGAAGGATATTGAGAAGATGAAGATGAAGGAAACGTACGCAGTGAAGCCGTTGATCGTGTGTGCATGTTTGATGAGCTCCAGGTCCACATCATCGTTTCCTGCCTGTGGTCATGCACAAACTTTGAGTCTGGACCAACGTCCCAACAGTAAAAAAAAAAAACATTTTTACAGGAGACGTTCTGCAACTTTCCAGAGTAAAAATAAACAAATTTAAAAAGACTCTTAGTAAAGCTTGACAAAACCCTGGAGCTGCTGGATAATTTAAAAAACTAAGAACTGCAGGTGATGAGAATTTACTCAAATCTCCACCAGGTGGTGCTGTTTGACAACAAATTTAAAATGTTATTTTTATTTTGTTATTAGGCCGTTACACTTTAAAGTGTTTCATCATTTTGTTTGTGATAATTTTCTAAAACTCTCTGTTACACATAGTTTTCACTCACCCGTCTCTTTTTAAAGCGGCTTCACTTTAAACACCATCTTTATTGTGTAGCAAACAGTTTATGAGCACTGTTGTGTTTGGAGAAAGACAACGTTCCTGCAGAAGAACCTTATCCCACCTGTGAAACACGGCGGTGGTAGTATCATGGTGTAGGCCTGTTTTGCTGCATCTGGACCAGGGCGGCTTTATCATTGATGGAACAATGAATTCTGAATTATATCAGAGAATTCTGATGGAAAATAGAACATCTGTCCATGAACTGAATCTCAAGAGAAGGTGGGTCACGCAGCAACGCACGAGTGGTTTTACCAAAAAATGGTTCAAGAAGAATAAAGTTCATGTTTTGGAATGGTCAAGTCAAAGTCCTGATCTTGATCCAATCCAGATCCATGACCAACCTGGAGAGGACAATCTACCATTTCCTGAATACGGACCATGACCTCAGATTTTGAGGTGTTGATCCTCAGTCCATCTGCTTCACAGCAGTATTCTAGTGAGAGCTGAAGATCACGGCACGGTGACGCCAACAGGACCACATCTTCAAATATTAGAGACTGAATCCTGAAGCCACCAAACGGTCCTCCCTCCGGCCCCTGGCTGCGCTGAAAAATTCTGTCCATAAAAGTTATGAACAGAATCGGTGACAACGGGCAGCCCTGGTGAAGTCCAACTCCCTCCCTGAAGGGGTTCGACTTACTTGTCAGCAATGTGAACCAAACTCTCGCACCAATAGGACCAAACAGCCCAACGGGCCCCAATCCCTTACTCATGGGAGTGAGGCTCTGCCTCCATGTTCTTCCTGAGCTGTTTGTGTCAACAACACTGGTCTGGAATGAAGGATTTGCAACAGTAAACACAGGTTTTATGTTTCATTGCTAAACCCAGAAACAATGTGGTTCAGTCATACAAAGAACATGTTTCAACACGAAGTGTCGTAATGTGAAGCAGCTGAGACCATGGTCCTCTGACTGTCCTCTCTGGGGTGGGTGTGAGGTTCTGCCTCAGGTGGAGGAGTTCAGGTATCTGCTTTTGTTCACGAGTATGAGAAGAATGGAGTGAGATTGACAGATGGATTAGTTTAGCTTCCACAGTATTGTGGACTCCGTGCCGGTCCGTTGTTGTGAAGAGAGCTGAGCTGTAAGGAGAAGCTCTCTGTCTACGTTCCTACCCTCAACTTTGTCCATGAACTTTGGGTAGTGACTGAAATAATGAGATTATGGATCCAGGAGGTCTAACTGTTTTCTCTGCAGGGCAGGTGGACTCTCCCTCAGACATAGGGTGAGAAGCTCAGTTGAGCAGAACTGCTGCTCCTCCACATCCAGAGGAGCCAGTTGAGGTGGTTCAGACATCTGATAAGGATGCTCCCATGGTGCCTCCCTAGGGAGGTGCTTTCAGCATGTTTAACTGGGAGGAGACCCCGAAGAAGACCCAGGACATGTAGGAGGGTCTACATCTCTCAGCTGGTTTGGGAACACCTTGGAGTCCTCCCTGAAGAGCTGGAAGAGGTGGCTGTGGAGAGAGATGTTGGGACCTCTGCTCAAGCTGCTGCCCCTGAGACCTGAGTCCAGAACAAGATGATGGAT